GTGCTCTAAGTTATTATCCTTACTTCCCCCAATAAGCCCTTACCTCCTTCTCCCTTGATCCCTTCCGCTCCAAATTCAGGGCATGTACTCGGCTAAGGGTGCAACACAAGAGCTGAAGCCATGCCAAGCCCTGACCCCTCCACTTCTCTGTCTGAGCACAGTACCTAACACATACCTGTTACCCATTTACCTAGTACTATGCTATATGCACTCCACATTGGATCCACATTGCACCCTTGTCTTAACATGCTGCACCATGCATCCACATCCTTTGTCTGTAACTCATCTTTGCTCCACATCTTGCATGCAACTCCACTGCAAGTAGCCACATCAGTCACAAGTCCATCCACTCTTATTCCCCTTCACACACAAACATGCAGAAGAATATCTCTCAGTAGCAACCCCTTGGGATGACTAGCAATACTGACTCTCATTAGGATCAACTTACTAGCACACTAGTGCCTACTCAGGATTCCTTTCTCACATTGGTATTTCACTCAGCCCTCTGGTTATTGTAACTTGTGAGTTTGTTCTACCTGCTACATGTATATGTGGTTCAACTATCACAATTTGCAAAGGAGTGATTGGCTAGCATATATGGGCTACTAGTACAAGCTTGGTGAGTGTGATAACTGTGCTTCACCACCAGAAATCATTTTATCCTGCATGGCCTGTCCAGAGGGAAATACACCATCTGTCATATCCCGTACCTCCGGATCCGGAATTCCAGAACCCCACCACTAAAGTCCGGTCCTCTGTCCTGTTATTTTGCCTGGCGCTCCACCTTCATCTCCGTACTCACCCCTATCTCCTTTTAGAATAGTTATTGCTCTGGCTACCGGTTATGTCCTTTCCGCTATGCTTACTGATCTGTCCGTTCTTGTTTCATTTCTGACCTCACTGCTTTGATCTGTGTACACTTACTAATAGACTTTCCACATGCTTTGTACATAGCCCTTACCTTTGCTGACTGATTTACTTATATGATACCTACAGTATATAAACTCCTGTAATACTCCGGAACTCCTCAGTTCGAATATCATCTTAGTTCTGCTCATTCCTGTATCTCTGGACTTGAGTCTCATCTCTTGTCTACCTCCGAGTCTTAGGGGTTAAACCTTAGGACTAAATCTCTGGCTCTACCTTAGGGTAGTCTAACCTCTGTTCCATTTCTACTCCAAACTTGTCCGCAGTAGCCTTACTCCATTTCCCTCATAGTCTTCCGGAGTTCCGCCGAACTCCCCCGACGTCTGACCTCCAGACTTCCTGGACTTCCATCGGACTTCTCTTCTGCCCCTGGAAATTAAGGGCATGTACTCAGGTAAGGGGTGCAGCGCACGAGCTGAAGCCGAAGCCCTTTGAGTAACCTCCCCCTTGAGCACAACCTTAACACCATCAATGACTCAGAAGTGGGTCTCTGTAGGCCACAGAACCATCTGTGGAGCTGTCACTGCTGTGAGAATTCCTTGCATGGAGACTTTACAGTAGTTCAGTTCATTATTGTACACTTATTGCAATTAATTCTGCTTCTGCCACTTTTCATGCTTGTGAACTTAAGCACACCCTGAATTCACTTTCAAGAAAGTCTATTAAGTCTGAAAAGCAACAGTCCAAGTTTCATTTCCCATAAAGTGTTACAGCAAAGCACCACTTTGCCAACAGTGCACTTGATTAGAGCATATTTGCAGTGCCCAAAATCAAAATCTCTTGGCCAAACAAGACACTCCACCCATGCAACAGACTTTGCTGGAGCTATTACATACATGCAATGGACTTTGCCAGAGTTATTACATACATGCTGTTTGTTAAGACCATGCTCCAGGGTAAGATGGAGCCTGAGGGGCTTGGCTTCAGCTTGTGCGCTGCGCCCCTTACCCAAGTACATGCCCCTAATTTCAGATTGTAGTCTGATTTGAGTTCTATGATCTCCGACAGGACATTGGAGCAGAGGTCCTCCAAAGGAGGACCGACGGACTACTAGGTAAGCATGGAAACATTGGGGGGAGATTGGTCCATCCTACAGGGGAGGGTCGGAGGGCTACTGCAGTTGGAGCTAACAGAAGGAACAGAGCAGAGGGAACTGCTCGGATGAGTTCCGAAGCAGAACAGGAACACGGAGGACAGAGGTACGAGGGTATTGGCCACAAGTCTGATGCGTGGGAAATGCGGCGGAGGTGTGGGAAGTCGGAAGAGCAGAGAAGGTAGCCGACCTAGGGAGTCAATCCCCTAGGCTGGCAAACAGGAGTTGTCAAAGGTTTGCCTGAGAACAAGGACAAGAGAGCAGGGCTTAGAAAAGGTAATATTCAGACTAAGGATCTACAGACAGATGTACATATGTTTATATACTCTAAGTAAGTAGCATAGCATAGCAGAAGGCAATGTGCTGAGTGTACAGGATTACAAAAGAGATGACTGAGACATACGAGAAAGAGGCTTGGAGAATAGTATGTATGCGACAGATCAGAAATCACTCGGGTATAGGGATTACCAGTGATCTGAAAAGAGGAACTATGATACTAAAAGGAGATAGGACCAGTTGAGTGGTTCCTAGTCTAGGAGTGGACCAGTGAGGCAGTTGGGCGGACTACCCATTGGGTGGTGTAACACGAGCAGAACTAAAGGAACCAAGCAGGTCGGAAAAGCAGAGGGAGTAAGAGTAGGATCAGGCGGACTGATAGGGTGGAGGAGCAGAACTCCAGATAGGGTTGGATGGAAGGGGTATAATGTCAGAGGACATAGGGGTAGTGTTGGAGGAGCGGAATGGGGTTGGGCAGAGGTAGCAGGGCTAGTCCTGCTGAGATACACTTCATGCATTGTCGGAGAAGGAGGAATGAAGTGGACGGGGAAACAGGGGGTCAGACCAGCATTAGGGATGCTCACAGGTGGTATTGGATGTGCTCGGATCCGGTATATGACACTGTTACTACATGTTCTGTGAAATACATAGCAAGAATCCAATTGTACTGTCAACGAAATTCAATGGACAACCTCAGAGGATTACTGCTAGTTCTCCCTCTACTACTTGAACCTCCTCGACCACCCCCAGTCCTACAACCTGTAACACTAGCAGCAGCATCCAGTGTTGTTGTTGATGCTGATAGAGTCTCTGAATTTCAAAGCTTAACAGCTCAGCTTCGAGAACAGCAGTGCCAAGAAAAGCCAAGGCCTGAACAAGGTGGCCACCGTATCACCATTGAGTGGCTTCAAAATCTTCGAGACAGGGAGTGTCTCTAGTGTTTTCGGTAACAACCATGTTCTAGTCTTGGAATACACTAGATAAATGATGTCATTGTAGTTTCACCTTTTTTGAGCTTTGTGATTTAGTGCAAGCTCTGCAAATCCCAGATAGCTTTTCAACATTATCATGTTATGTCTTCACAAGCATAGAGGCACTTTATCTGCTATGTGCTTGTCTCCATTCTGCCAGTGATTTGTACATGCTCACCTCAGAGTATGATCACTCCCAGTCATCACTTTCCAAGTATATCAATGAGCTCGTGGAGTTTCTGGATACATCCTGGGACCACCTACTTGATTTTGATCATGATCACCTTCTTCATTCATTCAACCTCAACCATTACGCCAATGCCATCCATGCTCATGGTGCTCCACTGCAATCCATCTTCGGTTTCATTGACTGCACTATATGAAGGATCTGTCACCCTACAAAATATCAGTGGCAAGCCTACAATGGATACAAGAAATATCATGCTTTGAAGTTCCAGGCAGTCATGCTTCCCAATGGCATGATTGGACACCTTTTTGGACCATATGGGGGACATCGGAATGACAATTTCTTACTTTCAGAAAGTGATTTGCTTGCCAAGCTGTCAGAATGTGCATTTTTGGAGGATGTTCCTGATGATGCACCTCTAGAGGAGAGGACACTACAAATCTTTGGCAATCCTGCATATGGTCTTGGTCCACATATCATCAGCCCATATTCTGGAGCTGGTGTTCACACCCCAGAAGAGCAAGACTTTAACTCAAGGATGTCTGCAGTACAGATCGAGGTTGAACATGGCTTTGGCATAGTTGTTAACAATTGGCCATATCTAAATGCCAATTGGAAGATGTAGTTGTATGGATCCCCAGTGGGTTGCTATTATCAAGTTGTGGTCTTGTTGACTAATGCTATGAACTGCCTGAGGCTGTCATATACCTGATCTGACCACTCCACCAATATTAATATCCGCTCTGCCCGACATCCTATGTCGGAAATTTGCGAAAGCGGTTGCAATGAGCTGTTATTTACATATATTTACATGCCGTTGAAATGCATCCTGAAATTACATGTCAATGCAGATAGCGCCCTGAAATCATAAGGTAATGTTGATTTCTGACTTCCAATTTATTACAAGCTGATTGAATCACATGACGTGTCAAATGCATACCTTACTAAACCTGTTATCAGTGCCCATCAGTGCGTTCATTGCTCTTCCTCTCAAACCTTCATTATTGTTAACAAAATGGCCCCCGACCACACAAAATTCTGCGATTTATGCAGCAACAATATCAAGCCACGAGGATGGACCACTCACAGGAAAGCATGTGAGACAAACGCGGAAAAGAGACATCAAGATCAACTAATTGTCGATGCCATTCGGCAGGAGAAGGGTATGTCGATATTTTGTTATTTAGCAATGAGCTCAGTGCTTGATTCAGAGTCAGACAGACAGCATCTGAATCAACCGGCTTTACCAATACCTAGTACCAGGACCAACACAAGTATGTTCCTCTAAATAACACATACCCTGTCTACTGATCTGTTTTCTAATAGTCAAGAGACACAACAATTTTGCGTATGATGTTGGTGCTGAGTTCAATCATGATGGTGAGTCTAGTATAATCATCTGAATATTGCTTTGACATCGAAATTATCCAGACCATCCTCTACTCGAACCTGAACCTGCACTCGACATGACATCAAGGTCGAATATCACCTGAGTAGCGGTATTGAGGTGAAAGTATACCCATTTCATAGTTTCCAGCATCGCCCCATGGCCTCTTCGGAGGCCCCTCCCAGTGCTGAGCCTTGGCGTCCATTTCAATCTCGCCTCGAGTTTGAAGTTGCTGAACTTGCCCTTGAGGTGGGTTTAAATAACCAAAAAACTGACCGGCTCATCAAACTTTGTCATCGCTGTATCGTTGGGAAGGAAAAATTCACGTTCAAGAACCACAAAGATATCCACATCAAGTGGGAAGCAGCGTCTGTTCGCATTACTCAGGTGGTCTGACTTTCTGTACTCATAAATCAGATTCTGATCTTCTTTGAAGCACAGTTCACGAAAGAAGTAATTTCAGTGCCTTATGATGGCAAAATGTGGGACTTTGACTTGCATTACAGGGATCTCTGGGGGTTAGCTAGTGACTTACTCGGGGACCCACGCATTTTTCCACATTTCATATTTGATGCACAGCGCTTATTCAAGTTCAACAGAGATACTTTTGTTTGCTTCGTGGATGAACCCTTTACCGCGCAAGATTTTTGGAATGTACAAGTATGTATTAATGTTTAATTGTTTTGTATGATTGTTTGTTACAAAATATTGTACATTTGTAGTCGCAACTACCACCAGGTGGGAAGCCCCTAGCCTTCATCTTATATGCTGATAAAACGAGGCTATCGTCTTTCGGCACTGCAAAGGGATATCCTGTTGTCGCACATTTAGCAAATCTACCTACCAACATTCGAAACAGACGAGGCATTGGTAGCAGTCATGTGGTAGGATGGCTCCCAATTGTAGGTCTCCTCTCATCGTTGAACCTTAGACTAACAGAGATGCTACAAACAGATACTGGAAGATAAGGACTATGCTGGAAAACCCAGCTGGGTGAACTTTAAAAACGCGGTCTGGCACGAATCGTTTCGCAGGATCACAGCATCGTTGGCATTGAAATTGAAAATGGGACAATGGTTTGCTTGTATGGATGGTGTTTCACGCTGGTTTTTTCTCTGTGTGCTCATTTTGTCAGCTGATTATGAAGAACAGTGAGTATTAGTTGTACTATACTTGCTTTTATTCGTGTTTTTCACTAAAAATAACCTACAGGTGTGTGATGTCGCTCACTCAAGGGATCATGAGCCTTTGGCCATGTCCCATTTGTCTTGTCCCTTCGAGATGCACTCTGTGATACCTCGCAAACATTTACTGCTGCCAACAGTGGATGATTCACTGTGCTGCGGTAATGGCTGCACGGACAAAAAATACCTTGGAAGAAAAAGAGGAGATTCTGAAGGTGCTAGGACTTCCGTGACATTGACGTGAGATCTCACTTTAGCTTGCAGTGCTCTCAAATTTACTGTATTTAGAATGCATTGTGGGACATACAATACTCAGATGTCCATAGGTTGTTGTCGCACGACCGTTGTCACTACAATCACGGCAGGGCTGTGGTCGCATCACTACTGGGTTGATCTGCAGAAACGCGTAGTGAGACTCGGAAGGGCAAAGGTGTCTCAAGTCGATAAGAGGTGCAGTTCGTTTTCGTGCTATAAAATATGTTATTCCTGTCTGATTCAAAGTATGTGTTTATGTCAGCTATCAAGCATTTCCGCACTGGCAGGATTTGAGGCACCCAAACCAAGTGATGGGTGTCCCTGTTTGCAGACAGTGCTATGCACGAAGATATCTCAAAAGTATGTTGTCGCGACTTTGATATTTTGCTACATTGTCCAACTAACATGCTACATTCCCATTTGCACAGATGATCATCTATGCTACACACAACATCCTGATGGAGGATGAATCACCACTCGGATACCTTCTACTTCGATGCGTGCAACTTTACCTTGAGGTCGACATATACACTGCATTCGAGGTTCACACAACTGGCACAATCAGTGAAGGGAGAAGTGCCGTCCAGGCTCTAACAGCGTTTATGAAGGTAGGTCTAAATTTCTTTCAACAAAGCTACATAAATTAATGTCATAGTAGCAATATATTACTAAAACTGAGGACGACGACAAATCAGACAAGGACTGGAGTTTTCCCAAGCTGCACATGATCACGCACCTATTCAATGACATCGAGGCAAAAGGAGCTTCAAGGAACTACAACACCAAGCCGAACGAGCAGATGCATGGGCCATTGAAGGACTGGTACCAAAATCGGACTAACTTTAAAAATGTTGCAGAACAGGTGAGGTGTCTACTACCTAAAATCTTACTTTTCCCTATCACTGATCTCATATTATATTAATCGCAGATCCTTCGAATAGATCACTGGGTACACATCACAGATGACATCCATCGCCATATCTCGGACTTAGACGACTACATAAGTTCGACGTCGCAAAGCCAAGATGACAACAACAACAATGAAGATGCTCAGCTCCCCATGAACAACTTCCTCCCTTTGAAATGAGGGTCTCTGCACGTGAAACTCGGATCACAGCAGGCTCCGCAGACATTTTCTCTCATCGAGGACACTCACCAGTAACAACGATGCATTCACCAACTTCCTGTATCAGGCTCAGTTTGTTTCTAAATGTCTTTCTGCCTGCCTGCAACATACCCCTACCGGATGGACGGAGAATTCACCTCAAATCAAATGTTGCAGTAAGTTTTTCATTCTACTGGCCCTCCTTACTATTAGGCTGATTCTGATGCAAATGAGATCACTGAGTATCAATTTCTGCGAGTGAACTTCGAGTCCTTTGTAGATTGGCGGCAACACACAGGACTACTTGCGGTGCAACCCATCCTTTCATAATGCACCTTGTTTTGATTGTGTCTTCATTCAGACCAATGAAAAGGTCATCGTCGGATGTCTGCTCTTCCTCTTCAAGTGCCCAGTTGGAAGGATCTGTTTCCCCTTGCTCTCATCCACCCATTTGATGCTCCCACAGGTACACGACTTCGAAAGGACAAGCAGCTCAATCTTTTCAGGGTTTGAGCAAGACCACGGGTGCAGGCGGAATTTTTCTCAATTAGGTCAATCCTTCATGGGGCACTTCTTGTGCATGATGCTGGCCTCGATTACTTTGTTGTTGACACAGTTGACACTGACATGTTCCTTCATGTAAAGGAAATGCATTTGCAGGCTGGGCATGTGGTACGCATTTGATTGGTGAGCAATATAGCATCTCTTCAACGAGTCTGATCTGCATTAACATAACTAGCAGACCAAGCCACTATATCACGCTTAGTCGAAACAGCATGGCCCTCATCTTCCTAACTAGCAGGCCGAGTCATTATATCATGCTTAGTTCAAACAACGCGGCCCTCATCTTCCTAACTAATAGCAGGCCGAGTCATTATATCATGCTCAAACAACGCGGCCCTCATCTAACTAGCAGGCCAAGTCATTACATCACAGTGCTTAGTCTTATCGTCCACAGAAGTTGAATGTGTATGACCCCCCTCTTCCTCCTTCGAAGGTGTCAAAGTGTGCTGAAGGGTTAGTGGATTGCTTGATCGGTACTCCACAAATGGCAAAGGGCGGATCTTGGATAGGCGGGAAGGTGAACAAACCTAGTCTTGACAGTATCGGTAGTTGACTTGAGGGACACTTAATAAAGTTCATTGCCGGAGAAGGGGACGAAACTCCCCCTCCGCCAGTACCGTCCAAGAGTCAGGTGTCATCCCTAGGACCTTTCTCTCACTTTAGCGAGATTTCATCAGTGACAACCTCCACAAGTCCGTCGCCTCCCCCAGGGGTGATGAACCAGTATTCGATGTCAGGTATACCACCTCCCCACAGAACCGGTTCTGTGATGGCGGTTTCCACTTCTCATTCTCTGAATCATGTGCCTATTGATCGTGCTGCACAGCGAGACAATCAGAAAATGATTTGACGCTCATCTGCAACTTGCTCTTGGCTGTCACAGGTTCACCATCTGCGAATGCCATGGCCACTTTGGAAACAGTGTCTGTGGTTAGTGCCAAGCCTTTCAATTGGTTGTTGGTAACCATTGCGACCACAGCTATGCAATAGCGCACAAGATCGCCAAGAGCTTCGAGCCAGCCGGATCAGAACGAATGCAGATGAATGGGCATTCAACGACCCCTGCCTATGGCGAGCCGCTGTCACGAAAGCCCTTGTTAGAAATGACTGCCGAGGAGGGCTCCGGGTAACAGCAGCAGGAGACAGTGTGGCGGTCTTTGCTCAAGTGACAATTTGGTCCAGGACTCTGGCCCCACACTGACCATGGCCACCTTTCACTCAGTCGATCATTTCCGGGCTTCGTCTGATGGCTTCATCTCCTTAATGGATGACCCCACATTGGCTGTGGCTCCCAGTACATGAAACAGCACTGCGTCAGCTCAGTTGTTCATGACAGTGCTTGCTACATTAGAAGGTCCAGGCACCTCAGCATCTAGTGAACACCCAGTAACTTGACCAGAAGTGTCAACCATGTGCGGCACCATGTCCGATTCTTCCCGAAGAACAGGTGAGTCACTCAGCTACTTGCTACTTCACTCGACCATCATTACCTAACTGTTAAATGTGTCTCTACTAGGAACAAAGCGGACGGGTTCGGATCATGACTATTGTAGACACGTAAAGATGCTGGAGGTAGTATTACGTCGGACATCACAAGGTAGGTGCCGCAAACATTTAAAGTGTTGCGAGTGACTAACAATTCTGTGTCGCCTTCCCTTCCAACAGGATCATCATTCAAAGCAGACATGTCACATGTCACTACTAGTATGCAGCCACTCTCTGAATCAGACACGGAAAGCAACTTTGATGATCTGAATGGCGATCCAGAACGTATATCTATACCAGGCCCCAGTGCGTCTAAAGGAGAGCTCTTGGAGGTATGAAATTATCGATCTGTTCAAGTGTTTACTGACTTGATTTGCTTCAGACCCTCAAAGCACTGCAAGTTCAAATACAGCGGCTTCAAGAAGAGAACAAGAGTATCAAGGAGGAAAACAAGACGCTACATGCTGAGAAGCCAAAACGGAAGCGGTGTGCGGACACGCAGCACAAGTTTGCTATTCACGAAGATACCATCACTATCTATGCCCACAAATACGGCATGATGGTTGAAATGTTTCCTAATGGCGAACTCCTCAACAAGAAACTCCCAGAATGTCCGACACCCTTTGGTAGCTCTGAACGATATACGACCGCAGCCACGCAGGAATCCGCATTCCTAGATGAACTTTATTGTCACTTCCCTGAATCGCTGCACAAAATCATGGAAAGCTCTTACTTTAGCGACCTGGTACTATGACTTTTCACTTGTGAATTTGCTATTATATCACTGACACAACATTCTTGTAGGTACTGAAAAGTATTCCTGACACCCGTGCTAATGAAATCAAAAAGCTTCGTGGCGTCGCTGGCGATATCTTTGGCCTTTCGTCAAAATATTTCACCAACCCTCACTATGATAGAGCTGCTGTCCCCGAAATTCAACGGTTACTCGGTGTTACGTCCACTACAAATCTAACCTACAAGACCTTCCCACCGGTGTTGTTTCCAGGTTTGATAGAAGATAAGTCGATGAAGACCGTGTTTGGAAACTGGGAACTATTGGCCTGAGTGAGTCTGTTCTTGTGTTCATCGACATTTTACCATAACACCACTATCTAGATTTTGAAAGCTTCATTGTGTGGCATTTCCTCACTCCATCAAGAGTCAAGTGGCAGTGGTGCCCATACGAACTCTCTCAAGTGGAGTGTCTGCCAAATCACACCAGGATCATTAGCATGGGCGTCAGTCATTGTAAGGAGGCAGTTCAAACATTATTCGAGTCCTCATGTATCATTGCAGGGGATATTTTTACTCTCACCAGACACTGAATTTTTGAGCACCGGCACGGGGAAGAAATCCAACATCAGTTACAGGACCCTGTTCTACCTCTACAAGAAAGTACTGGTTGCCAAATGGACTACAAAGCGCATCATCACCATCGTCACCAACATCAACTGTTACATTTTCAGAGCCACAAAAATTTCAGCCGGTTCTGGTGAACAAGAAGATTACACAGATGCCATTGATTGTGCACTTGCAGCACTCGACATGGACAGTGATTTGGATGTCGAGTTGAACACTTCGGCTCAGAATGCTGTAGCCCTTGCAGCTGCGAATCCTGTTGAAGATCCCCAGCCTACTCGCAGTCTAAGTCTTGGAGCCCTCGTTGAACCTGATAATACTACCATCAGCACCAATGCAGGAGAGGTCCATGATTCACGAGTTTCAGCCTCAGACATTTTAGAAGCGACAGATGAGCTATCACAGGATTTGGGGGGGTGAATAGTGCCAGTGGACGAGGGCGAGCGAAAACGAGAGGGAAGAAGGCAGCACCTGGACCTTCTGGGACAAATGCAACTCGCAGGGGACGGTCTCGAAAATAGTCAAAGTATTGATTCTTTACATTCTTTTGTTCTGTTATTACCTCCTGATTCTCGCATGTTCCCACTGAATATTGAATCAGAATTATTGATAGGCTCACTCTCAATCACTATGACAGGGGGAAATGTCATTTAAATTATTCAATCGGAGTTTAAATAAAACCCCAAGACTACTCCGCTTCTTTTAGACTTCTTTCCTGTCAATGACCTTCTGAAAATCACTCGTATGTATTTGAACAGCTGTGTCGAGATCTTCAACATGCTGGGCATTGAAGCAGCCCGTGCTGCTATCATGAGGGAGTTGCATGGGGTCGTCGAATTTGACGGTTCCTACGTCAACTATCGCCATCTTGCTCTCCTTTGTGATCTCATGATTCAGACACACCGAGGCTCTTTGATGGCAATTACCCGCCACGGCATCAATTGTGCTGACACTGGGGCACTCATGCGCTGTTCATTCGAGGAGACGGTGGATATCCTGAAGGATGATTGTCATGGCGGCATCGCCAAGAACATCATGTTCGGCCAGCTAGGGCCAATGGGCACTGGTGCCTTTGATGTAGCTCTCGACATGCTGAAGGACACTATCGTCAATCATCGCCTGCCAGTTCAAAACATGCTAGCAGTACAGGCAGATGGTGGCATGACACCATACGGCACCAATCCTCCTCCGTGGTCAGAAGGAAATTTCAAGGGAGAATCAGCCACCTTTTCTCCTCTTGCTGTCAACAGCGGTGAGGATCCCACAAACTTCTCCTTCCTTGGGTATGGGCAGAGTCCTCTTGGTGCCGGAGGCATGTCGCCTGCAGGACCTGGGTACAGCCCCAGTTCTCCCAATACATACTCTCCGACATCGCCATATGTTCCACAATCACTGTTTGGTGGCGCTACATCACCTTTTGGCACATCCCCAAGGATTCGTTACAGCCAGTAGGTGTCCTGTATGATTCAGACATCAAAACCTTTCTAATCCAAGTGTTCAGATGCCTTCGACAAATATCAGTCTGCCACAGGAGCAACCCTTGACGAGACCACTGGCTTGTTACAGATCTCATCTGACCAGTACGACCAGCTCATCCTTGTATTTCATGGTCTGTTCAGTTTGTTACATCAAGTAACTGTTCAGCGTTAACATTCAGCATGTATTAACAGTCGATTGGTCCAGTATGTATCTACAAAGCGCAGTAAATTTTCAACGGGATCGAGTATTACTGTTATTATGTAAATTCTATAAAAATATCTGAATTAATAAAATCAAATATCATACCTGCTTTACAATAAGCTCGCATTGCCATTTCAATGCTCCCTATACATTAAAATGTCATTGTAATGACTTTGAAAACCTGATTGCAATGACGATTGTGATCACGTTTGGCACATGATGCAACACTGAGTCATGATGACAATGACATTGTGACCGTCATTTAAATGATGGATACAATGACGACTCTATTATAGCAAGCTATTTAAAGATGTGTTCCGCATTTGGGCCTTGAAACCCATTGTAGGGCCTTGAAATACAAATTAGGAAATTCCGACATACTTCCCCCATTATCCTACCATCTCCGCTCCATCCGCCCTCCGCACGACCCAGTCGGCTTCCACATCCACTCCTACAGCTCTGCTCGACTGCCTCGTTGGTTGCCTTCCGCACCATCCATTCTACTGTAAATCCTCTTGCCCCATTTAGGTATATACTTTCCCCATTTACACATAGTACTTACTTCCAGATCACCGGTAACTCCTCTTACCACTCAATCACTGATCCGACACATACATATTGATATCTGCTCTGACTTATGTCTTCACCTGTGTAAGTACTTACAAACTATATCCTTGGTACATAGCTTTACAACATAAGTCTCCTCATTACTGCCTCACACTTAGATAGTTTCCTCAGTCTTAATATTATTTGTCTTCTCGCAGTCTCTACTTGTGAGAATTCTCAGTAGGACCTTGCCTCCTCCAGACACAAGTTTCATCTTGTTGTCACCTCCAACCTTCCGCTCTGACTTAGAGTGGTGCTCTAAGTCTTCCACCTTACTTCTCTGCCTCTATCAATAAACCCCTTTGCCCCTATCCACCTTCTGCACTATCCTCTGCCTTCCCCACTCCACTCCTAGTTGGCCCGCTGCTAGTAGTGTTTACTTCCCGACCCTCAAGTGGACCAAAGTGGTCTACTTGTCCTACTGTCGGACAATGTCGGACCCGCTCCAAATTTGGGGCATGTACTTCGGCTAAGGGCGCAGCGCAAGAGCTGAAGCCAAGCCCCAACCCCTCTGCTTCTTGAGCCTGGCACAGTACCTAACAGAGGCCTAACCAGGTTTCACAATATTTTGACTGTGAACCACCAGAACTCAAAGAATACTTTCATGACTAGGTATTTAGCTGTAGATACAGGATTGTGTATTAGGTAGAGATAGTGGGCAGAACATGAGAATGAGTGGTATGCACGATGAGAAGGTAACCATGGATGAGGTAGTCAAAGGCTATCATAAGAGAATGTAACAATGGGTCACATATGATTACCTGCAAGAAGTGCAAGCAGCCTCTCTTGGAAGGCTTTGTTATCCTGCATTGCCTGCTCATAAATCTGGTTCGAACTTTCGAAACTTGCTTGATAAGGGCATTGGACTTTACATTGCAATCAGCACAATCTTCTTGCATCAAGGCAAGGATCTCAGCACCAAAGTCGTGACTTTTAACCTGTTTCGTAGCATGAGAACTGTGAACTTGATTATCATCATCAGAATCAGCCACTGAAAGACACTTATGAGTCTTAATAGCACATTTTGCAATGCTCAATTGTGGTCTTCAAGTTGCCATCAGCTGGAATGGACTCAGACTTGACATTCTCTTGGTCAGAGTTAGTTGTTGGTGTACAAGTGGTATCAATGGTTGTAGGACAGCGACATATGGATGCTGAGATAGGTAACTCAAGCTCGTGGTCTACTTCATCATCCTTGATGACATGCAGGCATGTCATGGTCATTGCCATCATTGACAGCAGGTGCCATTGAGTCAGGGACATCAGATGTGGTGAGCTGCTCAGTGACTGGCTTAGGTGATGGCAATGCAGGTACATCAGGTGTGGGCAGGGTATCAGGCATGGAGGGGCTTGGTGATCTAGGGACACCTTGTCTTGTCTTTGTAGCTGCTGCATGAATAACTTGCCCTGCATGTTCCTTGAGCTCTCATTTCTAAAAAGACATCAATTCAAGATAATAGCCATATATTAAATACTCACCACTGCAGCCTCCAATTTCTCAGAGTCAGTCTTGTTTTGTTTTGATCTTGAGAGTGTCAAAGCCAGTCAAGGACTGCACCAATACAGATAGCCTCTGTAGTGCCCTCTAGAGCAGCATGGATAGCCTTTGGACACTTGGATGGGTCCTAGTTTATTTAATTAGACAAGTACTGAAATTCAAAGGAAAACCTACATCTTGCCAGGCGAGAAGGCCATCAAGCTTTGTTTGAAGTGTGCATTCAGTGACATCTACTCTGTGTTCATGTAGATCATCTGCTACAAGTTGCCAGACCTTTGTAACATTCCCTCATCCACAAGCTGCAGTGAAGACATCTTTTTCACGTGCCACCTTCGCTAGCATGAGTAAAGCTGCTGCAGACAAATGTTTGTTGGTTTGGGCAGTATTCAAAGTGCTGGGGGTAACTTCATGATGAGTCTGCTGGACAGCTTGTACATGGTACAGGTAGACCTGAGGGACAGCAGGGTTGTAGGAGTGTAGAGTGAGAGGACTTGTGATATATGCTGGAAGGCGGGGCAAAGGCCTCTGTGCAGGATAAAACAGAAGGAGGAAGGTGACAGATCATTGTAATGTGGAGGCAGTGGCTGGTGGGCATAGTGATGCAGCTGGAACTGGAACTGGTTGGTGTGGTCCATGGCATTTGTCATATCCCATACCTCCAGACCCAGAATTCTGGATGCTCCCCTATGAAAGTCCAGGTCTCCATCCTATTCTCTGTCCAGCACTCTGTTTTCATCTCCAGACTCACTCCTATCTCCTTTTAGAATACTGCTCTCCGGCTACCAGTTGTATACCTTTCCACTTTGATTACTGATCTGTCCATTTGTACTTCATTTCCAACTTCACTGCTTTGATCTGTTATACTCTTACTAATAGACTTTCCATATGCTTCGGGCATAGCTTATACTTTGCTGACTGATTTACTTACATGATACCTACAGTATATAAACTCCTGTAATACTCCGGTACCTCCTCAGTTCAAATATCATCTTAGTTCTGCTCATTCCTGCTTCTCCAGACTTGAGTCTGATCTCCTGTCCACCTCCAAGTCTTAGGGTTAATCCTTAAAGACTATATCTCTGGCTCTACCTTAGGGTAGTCTACCTCTGTTCCGTTTCTACTCCAGACTTGTCTGAAGTAGTCTTACTCTATTCGCTCCTAGCCTTCTGGAGTTCCACCGAACTCCCCCCTGTGTCTGACCTCCAGACTTACCTGGACTTCCATCAGACTTCCCCTCTGCCTCTTGGAAATCAAGGGCATGTACTCGGGTAAGGGGCACAGTGCACGAGTTGAAGCCAAGCCCTTTGAGTTGCCTTTCCCTTGAGCACAACCTTTTTTTTTTTTGATTCCATTTCTGTCCCATTGAGAGGAGTACTCTATGTAGGAGCATGACCTTAACAGCATCCAACACTGCGAGCTCATTGCTCGACCATCCTGAGTGATGAGGTGCTGGTCAGGTCAGTACAGATTTGATGTACTAATTGAAGGTTTTGTCGCATGTTTACCTTGTGTCAATGTACGTCAACATACAGCATACACAAGTAAAATTTTGGCGTTCCAATGCTGCTTGCAGGTTACAGGCTCCACACTTGCATGTAAAGTTGCAGTTGCAAATACGCTCTATTGGGTTGATCCCATGTCTACCTCGTTTATGAAGTACCAAGACAGTGGAAGACTAGATGAAGGTTGTTCATCCAGAATGACTTGAGTCCAGCATCAGACCTGATACTAGAGTCATGAAGATCAAGTGAAGATCAAGTTAGAGAATACATGGTCTAACTATTGGGTATATATAGGTATTGTCCTATGAGTTCAGGGGAGGTCTAACTGACCAGAAAGTGTCCCAACTAGGTAGGTGTCTATGTGAGTCATAAGGACCCAGAGATAAGAGTTACCAGTCCAACGGTAAGGGTCCAGGGTATCTATATGATAAGAGAGAAGCATGCAGCTTCTATGTTTCAAGGGGTGACCGCAGTTTTGAGATCACGATAGATACAATATTGATTGTTTCACAAGCAAGAGTGAAAAATATTAGACTTAGAGGCACACGACGGTGAGCACTAAGATTGCTTAATTATTCGGAAATGTCCGCGCAGATTATATATACTTTGTATTACCGCCGGGTTATGTAATCTCCACTGTGGCTGACGTGTTCTAGGTTTGTTCAACCTCGACACTCCCCCTCAAACCTAGGACATCCCAAGTCCACGTATATGTTGGTGATGTGCAGGTTTGGGTAGCGCTTTTGTGAAGATGTCCGCCGTCATTTGTGCGGTAGGACAATACTTCAGTTTTATTAGTTGATTTTTAACTTTGTTTCGGATATAGTGATGTTTCAAATCAAAATGCTTCGTTCTTTTATGATATTGTGGGTTTTGCACAATCGCCAACGAGCCAGAGTTGTCACCGTATAACAATGTCGGTTCTTTTTGCTTGTATCCTAACTCCAAGTATAGGCTTCGGAGCCATACTGCTTCTCTCGCTGCGTCCAAGAGGCAGATATATTCAGCTTCCGTCGTTGACAAGGAGATGGTGTTTTGCTTTTTCGATCCCCATGTTATCGCCCCTCCATTCAATAAGAAGGTGTACCCCGAGACGGAGGTATGATCATCATTATTTGCGAAGCTCGCATCCGAATATCCAACGAATTAATTTTCGGTCTTTCCCA